AAATAGCAAGACCAACTTCTAGCTTCATGGTTATTATCATCTTTGAGTGAAGGAATATTGGTGATGATGGTTGGTCTAGAATCAGCTCAAAAAATTTGGGAAACTAATGCAAACAATTTTACTAGCTAATCCTCAGCTAGAATCGTGCAATACAAGATGAAACTGTAAACTTTGAAAAAATTTGGGCTGTCAATGAGAGAATACCTGAGTAAAATCAAGAATCATTGTGATATCTTGGCCATAGCTGGTGAAAAAGTCTCAGAACAGAATCAAGTGTTGCATATCTTTGCAGGTTTGGGATCTGAGTATGTTTTAGTGATTGTCAATGTGACCTCTAGATATCCACCTCACACTCTGACTTAGGTTCATGCCATTTTACTCACCTATGACTTAAGGTCGGAGATTAACTAGAGTGTTATAGTAAACGCTAAAGGATCACAACCATATGCCAATACGGTTACTCAAAACACTCAAAAGAACTACTCTTAGAACATTAATCAGAATAGAGGTCGAGGAGGCTTCTACCAAGGCAATAAAGGAGGTAGATCAAATAGAGGAAGAGGTCGTGGGATACATCAACAAAATAGGCCTCAGTGTTAAATTTGTTATGGCTTGAATCATACTGCAGATAAGTGTTGGTATAGGTATGATAATGGACCTAACAACCAGTCAGGATCTCAAAATCAATAAGGGCCAAGGAAAAATCCCAATCCAAGTCTCAATATGGTACAAATGCATGGGGGAAATGTCTACTCATATGTTGGATCTGAAACCAGCTGGTTTTTTGACTTAGGTGCCTCGAACCATGTCATCAATAAGCTGGAAAATTCGAACATAGCTTCTGAATACACCGGTGGAAGCATGCTGCTGATGGGAAATCGTAAAGGAGCCTCTATTTCACACTTTGGTAATTCTCTTATTCAGAGTCATGATCACTCTAAAATCTTTGTGCTCAAGAATTTGCTTCATGTTCCCAACATCAGCAGAAAGTTACATAGTGTGTCTCAATTTTCTAAAGACAACCAAGTGTTGTTTAAGTTTCTCCTTATTTCTGTCTTGTTAAGGATTTAGAAACTCGAGAAATCCTCCTCAAATGGACAGTTAACGAAGGATTGTACTAGCTCAACCTGCAAAGACTAGTAATTACTTAAGTCTAGACTTATGGAATAAAAGGTTAGGACATACTAATTATGGCAATGTTGGGAAGGCCTTGGCGGCATGTAATCTGGAATATGAATTAAGGCATCAACCTAGTTTATGCAGTTCTTGCATTATGGCAAAAAGTGACTCTTTACCGTTAATGATTCTAAAACTGTTTATCATGATTGTTTTGAGCTTGTGCACATTGACTTATGGAACCTTTCCATGTTAAGATGTGAATGGTTATACTTATTATGTTAGCTTCAATAAATCATTACTTGAGATTCACATGGATATATTTGTTGAAAGCAAAATCAGTTGCTTATAGTGCTTTTCTTAGCTTCAAGGGACTAGTTGAGAATCAATTTGGAAAGAAAATTAAGGTTGTGCAAAGTGATGGAGAAGGTGAGTATCAATCTATATCTAGAATTTTTCAAGATAATGGAATAATCCATAGGGTGTCTTGTGCTTATACTCTGAAAGAAAGCACAAGGACATTGTGAACATGGGATTATCTCTCTTAGCTTAGTCAGGTTTGCCCCTATGTTATTGGGGTGATGTTTTCACAACCGCAACATACTTAATAAATAGAATACCAAGCAAGCCTCTCAAATTCAAAACACCTCTGGAAGTCTTGTATGGACACAAGCCAGACTATAAAAGGTTGAGGGTGTTTGGATGTTTATGTTATCCCCATCTCAGACCTTACAATAAACATAAAATGTAATTCAAAACACTTGGAAGATTTTTTATTAGCTATAACAACCAATATAAGGGGTACAAAGTGTTGTTTTCAGATAGAAGGATCATTATCAGCAGGGATGTTGTGTTTGATGTGACTGCTTTCCCTTATGCCAACAAGAAAAAGCAGTCAAATATTGATGCAGATTTGAGATCCTTCATAACTTTTGCAGTCATTCTTACAGTTGTTGATAACAATGAAACCAAACATTCAGGGAAAAGAGTGAATGAAATTGAAAACCAAGCTACCACCACTCCTCATATGTCACCTTCAACAAGAATGAATGAATCAAATCACAACATCCCCACAGCATCTCAAGGATCACACAACAGTCATTCAACTATACTCGTTGTGGTAGATTTACCTATAGAAAGTCGGACAGACCAGGAGAATGTTGGTCAAGATACAAGACATAGACATTACATGGTGACTAGAGCAAGGGAAGGAATTTACATGCCAAAGATAAACACTGATTGCATTGAGGGAAAAAAAAAAAAAAGAACCAACCTTCTTAGAAGAAGCCATATGCAAAAACCAGTGGGTGGCGGGAATGAAAGAAGAGTTGAGTGCACTCACAAAAAACAAAACTTGGGAATTAGTAGAGCCACCTAAAGGAAATAATGTTGTAGGCTGCAAATGGGTGTTCAAGATCAAGAGAAAAACATGTGGAAGTATTCAGAAGTACAAAGCAAGGCTGGTAGCACAAAGGTATTCTCATATTCCAGGTTTTGATTTTCTAGAAACCTTCAGCCATGTGATTAAGCACAACACTATAATAATCATGCTCACCCTTGCATTCAATAATGATTAGAAGATAAGACAGTTTGATGTAAGCAATGCTTTCTTGAATGGAGACTTAGTTGAAATGATATTTGCGAGGCAACCACCTGGCTTTGAAGCTAAAGGAAAAGAAATGATGGTCTGTAAGTTATCCAAGGCATTGTATATAAGGATTAAAGCGGGCTTCAAAAGCTTGGTTTAGCAAAGTTAAAGGAGTTCTAGAGGCAATAAAGTTTAATGTTTCCAATGTTGATACTTCCTTATTTTTTTAAGACAAAGGGTGCAAGAAGCATGTTTGTACAGTTGTATGTGGATGATATCTTAGTCACAGGAAGTGATAATAATGAAACTGATATATTTGTTCAGACATTTGGAAAGGCCTTTGCAGTAAAGGACTTAGGAGAGAGAGATCAATTTTTATGAATTGAGATCGAGAGGACTACAGAAGGGTTGCACTTGAATCAATGCTCCTACATTAAAAGCTTGCTCAAGAAGTTGAAAAGGAAAGATGCAAAATGTCTTCCTACTCCAATGATCACATCACCATTGTTGTCTAAGCATAAAGAGCACCCAACTATAGATGGAACCTTAAACAAGAGTGTTGTTGGTGCACTCCAATACATAACCATCACAAGCCCAGAGATAAGTTTTTCAGTAAACAAGGTAAGTCAATTGGCTTCTCCCTTAGACACACATTGAAAGGCAGTCAAATGAATATTGAGATATCAAGCTGGAACAGTGGATTATGGACTTCATGTTAGAAAATCATCACACATGAATATCTTTGGCTTTTCTGACTCAGACTGGGGAGCAGATTTGGATGATAGGAGGTCAGTGACAGGGTATTGTGTTTTCCTAAGAGGGAACTTGGTATCTTCGTGTTAAAGAAGCAACCATTTGTTTCAAGGTCGAGCACAGAATCAGAGTATAAGAGCCTTGCGCATGCAGTAGCTGAGGTCATATGGATACAGTCTTTACTGACTGAGATTGGATTAATTGAAAGGAAAACTTCAGTCATATGAGTTGATAACCAAAGCACTGTTTTTTTTTTNNNNTTTGGCATCAAATCCAATCATGCATGGAAGAACCAAACATGTTTAACGTGATTATCATTTTGCTAGGGAAAAGATAGCCAACAAAAAGTTGATGGTTCATCATGTGCCAAAAGTGGAGCAGATTGCAGATGTTTTAACTAAGCCTCTTGCTAACCAAATCTTCTCTCGGCTTAGAAATAAGTTAGGAGTCACATCCAAGTCCTCGATCGAATTATGGGAAAGTGTTAGAAAACCAGAGTTCTCCATTAATCGAACAAGCCAACAGCCCCAATTCAAAGCTCCTTATCCAACTCATGCATGAAGACAAAGAAGTTAGCTTTTGTACCTGCCTAGAGAGAGACATGAACATGGGATTCAACCTCTACATGTTTGTGACCGTTAGATTAGAATTTTGTAAGCTAAGATCCACCACGCATTGTTGTATATATTTATTAGAATTGGGTTTTAGTAGGTGTTATGAATTCTAAAATACTATAGCCGCAGAACATATTCTTTGAGCAGAAATGAAGAAATCTATGTTGATCCGTTTTGCCTTAATCTTTGTCACGACAATGCATGTTTTATTTCATACACAAGAGAAATTTATGTAAGGTGAAAAAAAAGAGAGATATCGATGGGAAAATCATAATATTGATTATGTAAGACATTCTGACTTGTTTTGACTTACATTTGTTTTCTCATCACTTCTTACTTAATTGGCAATTTTATCTTTTCCAGTGTGGAAAACATCTATAAGTTTAGGCAACGAAAGAATAACTCAATGGCAAATACAATTCTTGCGCAAACCCATCTAACCATTAGACGAGTCGATACATCATTTATTTGTGAAAAAACTGCATAACTATGTTGTAAAATGTTATTATTTCTCAGAATATGACATTTTATATTAAAAGTATGCATATCTACTGAAAAGTACGTTCCAAATACAATTGTAAATTAACTACTATCTCCTCAATTTAACTTTGGAAATTCATGCAAAGCAAAATTGCCACTTCCGCATACAAGTAAAGCACAAAACATCATGTTTGTTTGACCTACAGTAGTAATGTCTAGCTTTTTTTCTCTTTATCCCATAATCCTCTGTAAACAGAGTCGAACTTCTGCCGGGTGAACATCTATGATAGTTAATAATGAT